TAGAATTTTAAAGTCAAACTTACCTGGAAATGTAATTTTGGGTACCTGAAAACCAACACAAAGGCGAGACGCGTGCTATCAGTGCTTTAGTTGCTGACCGACTGGTTCATGCGCATTTGTGTCGTAAACACTTGATGTAGATGACTGCGACAGATAGATAGTCTCTCTCGTTTTGGAGATATTGAATGGAGCCACTGTACCCGACTGAGCCACTGTTCCCGACAATACCCTATATGTTGATGGCAGATTCTTCCCAATTTCTTCTTTTAGCTTCTTATGGTAGCGGTCTTCTTCATATAACTCAATACCACCATTTTTAGAGTTCTTAACAGTTTCAATTTTGATGTTTATTTTTGGTAAATTCAAATTTCTGCTCAGCTCGTTCTTAGTTCTGTAGTTAGACTGTTGTTGTTCAGGGGTAATGATAAGACTTTTAAGTGTCCTTTCTTTACTCTTTGATGGTGAATTTATAACTGTTTGGGCATATGTGGATTTTTTTGTTGTTGTTTCCTCTAACTTCTCAATTCTCCTAAGGAGTGTCTCAAGTGGTGTTACTATACAGTCCCTATCTACTATGTTTGAAGAAATAAGATCATACTGTTCTTGAAATCTTCGGTTTTCGTTCGATAGGTGGTATATTAATGTTTCTTTTTCCAAAAGTAATGCTTGACAATTTTCTAAATCTTTCGTTTTTTATAATAACTCCTGTTGTAATAATTTATTCTGTTTTTTCAAGCACTCACATGTTTCTTGCGTTGACATAATAGAATCACAGCTAATGTTTAGTCTCATCTTCATACTTTTTCTTTCTCCGAGTCATTGCACACTCAGTATTTAGAATTTTGTTTCACTGATGTGGCTTGTCAAAATTGTGTCAAAGTTGTATATGAATACAAATGGCCGAAAGTGGTTTACCTCTTGAAAGTTGTCTGATCCCCAATTGTGGATATCCAGATGTAGTCTAGGAACAAATTCAAGAGCAGCGACAAATTATTTGATTCGTAGTTTCGGCAATATGGTGATGGAACTGTGGAAAAGGTAGATAATAAGTGTATGTAGGTATCTGATTGATTTTCCTTATATATATATATATACGAGCAGTAGTCATTGCCATTGCCAACGACCAGTTCGGCAAAAAATACAATCAATTGTTAATTGGGAAATTGGCAATTTTTTTTTTTTTAGGCTTTAGTAAACTCTTTTAACGGTAATCTCGAGCTTTTAGCTTCACTTTGGAGCCATCTTTAGGAGCTGGAAATACAAATATGAAGCTAGCAACCAATATGGGAAGGGTTTAAATTATCAGACAATTTACTCGTCGCTGAGGTTGCAGCCAAATGGTGTTTCAAAACGAAAGTGTGGATGAGAGCATTTGTTACAAATATAAAACCAAAAGGATGGACACATTGGGTTTAGTGATAACGACGGAAACGATCGTTAGGTGTTAACACTGTATATCGAAACACCCGAACGCATTAAAAATGATCGAACTGCAATTTTCTGGAAAAAAACCGGAAGAGTCCCTTCTATCCTCCTACATCTGTTTCACGTGGAGAAAATCAGCGAACCGGAAGAGTGATGCGTCGCCAGATGACAGGTGATTGTCGCGAAGGAATATGGAAATGTAAACACCACAGGTCATTCTATGAGTTATGGCAGTATAAAGGTTCTTGACAAGGAACAACGATTCTCAAAACGTCTATTTTTAGAAATGTCCCACATTTTCATGACAGATCATCACATGAATAAAAAGGCTGATGTTAAGCAGCTTAGTGTCATTTATTCTTACTTGTTGAATTGCGAAAAGTTAAAACGTCTACTAGTTGATCTTACGTCCTCCCGAAATTAAAACACAATTCCAATTATTTATCTTGTTATTTGAAACATTGTCCTCACGGTAATAATAAATTTTAATATATTTTCATGCAGTCCATCTTTTCAAGCGTATATCACCATCTTACACTCGCATGCATAACACTTTTCCCAGAACAAATTTAATCCAGCATTTTGGGAATAGGCTATTTGACTAATTTTGCAAAATCATTTTAAATTATTCTTTTATATATAATGAGCACACTACATGAATATTTCCTGAAAATCTATACTATTTTTAATAGAAATCAAATTTATAGTTTGAATTTTTAGAACCGCGCCAAAAACGCTATTCCTGTGATGGCGCCGGCAGATGACGTCTGTGACGTCACACGCCAGTAAACACGATCACGAGCTGTCAGCCGAAGTTAATTTCATTATTGTGCTTGATTTTGCTATAAAATCATAGATAAAATGGTCTATAAATGGTGTGTAGTGCCAAAATGTACGAATACGTGTATAAATAGTCCACAAACATTGTTTGTTTCTGTTCCAACCGATTGTAAAAGACGAAAAAAGTGGTTACTATTAGCTCGGAGAGACCCAAAGGGCATTTCATCGACTTCAAATGTATTTATGTGTGAAGATCACTTCGATGTAAGTATAAATTGAATATATTATCTACTAGGTAGCTTAAATTACCGCTTTTTTTAAGATTGAAATGATATATAACTATCTATAACCTCAAATGTATCTTTGGTTATATTGAGGATAAGTCAGTGTTGAGGATCAAAGATCCTGTTTATTAACAATAAACTTATTACTCTGTAGGGTTTCAAAATATTTTCTGTTGTTTTGATTATATTAGCTACCTACATATCTCAATAATTTTCTATGCTGTGTCATTTTACCTACTTTGCTTATTAGATAGTGATAGTTATGTTGAATTGCAGATGGAAAAAGACAGCATTAACTACATGCAGTACAAAATGGGTTTCAGCAAGAAGATACTTTTGACAGAAGATGCTGTGCCAACAAAATTTCATTGTCAAGAAGATCGTAAAAGACCACTGTCTGATGCTGGACTTTCTCGAGGAGCATATGTCAAGAGGAAAAGAATGGATTTGGTCAACACATGTTTGCAAAGTCAAAATGCTACTGAAGCCCAAGCTGAAAGCTTACAAAAAGATGAGAGTTTGATACAAGACATTATTGAACCTCAAGGTATGTAATCTATTACATGTTTCCTATCATAAATTATAGTCTAAGAGCTGATAGACATTTTTGTAACCTATTTGAGGCCTTATAAAAACTTGTCTACTACTTCTTCCATTATTTCTGAATAAAAAGGGCAGAACTGAATAAGGTGAGTAACTGTTGTCCCTAGGGGTATTGAGGGTATTTTTCAAAAAAATCATAAAGACATATTTGTAGCACATTGAGATTTTTACAGAATAATATTTATGGTTTAAAATTTGATATATTCAAAGTGATAGGTCATTTTAGTGGGACATTTTACTTGCTAGGTGATCAAGAATGCTCAACTTGTACTTCAGGTAATGGGTAATTTTCTCTCAAGCTGTTGATGTTGTGATTCACTACCCCTTATCCAGCACTGCACTTTTTCTTCAGTGATAATGGAAGAAGTAGTAGACAACTTTTCATAGTGCCTTAACATAATCATTTACATTGAAATTAAGACATTAATTTTGAGTTTCAGGTTTATCAAGAACTCAAGACAGAGAAACTATTACCAACTCTATCATAACTGCAGAAAAATCTGTGCAAGTAACAATAAAAGAGAATGTGCATCATAGGAGCAAATCTGTGCAAACAAGATGCCAGACTATAAGTATTTCTACCTCACCAATGAAAGTTTCTACAACATCTCGTTCCACTTCACCCTTTAAGATTAAACCATGCAGTCTTCGACCATCACAGTCTGAAATTGTCAAAGCAGTCAAGAGAAATGTTTTTCTTGAAGATGAAAAGTCAGATAGTGATATTTCCTGTATTGAAAGTGGTCGTCATTTATCACCTTTTGTAACTAAATCAGCATCATCATCATCAGGGCTTACGACTCTGATAGTAATGTTACAGATGCCAATGAGAATATTGAAAAATTAGAGTGCCTCAAAATTACTATGCGTTCAATCTCTAAAAAACCAATGATGTATGTTGGTATTCCAAAAATGTTATTTCTTAATCAAATTGTTACATAAACACACAAGCATAAAAGTAGAACACATTTTGCTATGCTTGAAAAAGATTAGAATGAACAGTACATTTTCTGAACTGGAGGATAATTTTGGAATATCATTATCTTATGCTAGTAAATTGTTTCTACAAAATATACCAATAATAGCTAGTGTTTTAAGACCATTCATTGTAAAAATAGATAAAAAATTGGTAAAAAAAAATCTTCCTATTTCATTTAGACATAACTATCATAATGTCAGTTGCATCATAGATTGATTAGAGATTGATATACAAAAACCATCAAAGGCTCTTCATCAGTCATTGACGTGGTCAGAGTACAAAAAGGGGAATACTGTGAAGTATTTAGTATCCTGCACACCTAATGGTTTAGTTAATTATGTTTCGCATGGGTTTGGGGGCAGAACCAGCGATGCCACAATAGTAGAAAATTGTAACTTTCTAGATGGATTACCCCAAGGATCCTGTTGTTTAGCTGACAGAGGCTTCAAACACCTTGAACAAATACTTCATGAAAAGGGACTAAAACTATTAAGGCCACCCAGTGTAAATGCTGGTGCAAAGCTGTCAAAAACTGAAGTTCGACAAACTAAAATAATAGCTAGTTTGCGGATTCATATTGAAAGGGTAATAAGGCGTTTGAGAGAATTTCATATTTTAAAGCAACATTCAGTGATAAATACTAACATACGTCGTGTACTTGATCATGTCATTATAATTGCATGTGCTCTAATAAATTTGCAAGATTCTCTTATTAAATAATGGGTTTTTGCCTGTTATGATACTTTTTACTTAATTATTATCATGTAATCTCCTCTTTTGTGACATACCATTTGACCTTTGTGTTTTGTACTTGGCTGAATAAATACTTCTACTACTACTACTATAAATAAAGAAATAAATGATGTGAAACCATGAATAAAATAATAATAAAACAAGAAATATGCACTGCATAGTTTTTTATTTGATATTCACAGACTAGTGCTACGATACAAAATAGGATATATATTTTTTTTCCAAAAAATATACAAGTTTTTTATTAAGTTGTTGACATAATCATCTTCGTACTTCACTAGAATAATATCTACATTTTTTGTTTCTTCAAAGTTGCTATCAGCAACACAAAAATAACATTTTTTCATACCAGTTGCATGCATCTGTAATTGAACCTGTGCCTTACATTTCTCTGAAATAATTCCATTTTTTAAATGATTGTTCTTAGCTTTTGCTTTGGTAGGGCATTTTATTTCAACAATGGTATCTTTCAATAAACCATCAGGAGATGCTGCAAGCATGGGATTGTCTTGGCACACATAAAGTCCACATGTTCTGATTTTTTTGTTCAATGTTGTACTAACTGTCTTCCGGACAGATAGCTCCAAACTTCTACCTCTTTTCATTGCAATAGTATCTGGTATTTTTGCGCCCATTATAGTAGCAACCAATGAACCATCAGGTGTATGACATACGCTCACTTCATGTGCCTTTGAAGCTGTGATACGGCCATACCTCATCTCATACCACAAGCTGCTCTTGTACTGCATTCTTGTTGCTTCTTCAATTGCACTGATAGCAGCTCTGTTGAAAGTTGTCTTCATTATGTCCTGATATTTTATCAATTCACAGTGTTGAAGTTTTCTTTTTTTGGCTTCCAAAATAAAGTCTGTGTAAAGTGCTGATGTACTTGGTCTGTCCGGTACTTCCTTTTTCGACATCTGCTGCACCGTGATGTACTTCAGAGTAGTCCCTACTCTTGACAATGTTGGCTTTTTCCAATAACATTCCACCGAAGTAGATGGAGGTTCCTCACTGCGCCGATGTACCCACATCAAAAACGCGACTGCATGCTTGCAGCCTCCTGCTGAAGCAGCACAGTCATGGCACTGACAACTTATTATCTCGCTTTCATTTTCGTTGATAACCATTGTCACATTATAAGCTTTTGATCTCAATTTGTGCTCTGGGCACATTTTGCACTTGAATGTGCAAAGTTCATGCTCCCGGTGCAGCTGCACATAGCCAATTGCATCGTCTCCGTAGGACTCCCTTCCAGACCTGTAAAACAAAAGCAAAACATGAAAGTATGTTTTATTCATGAAACCATATATGAACCATATTATCATATTGAACTGAAAGCTTTTTTCATTACATCAACATAACCTAAAATAAGATTGATTTTACAAATCTTTTAATGATCATACATAAAGGTTAGTAGGTATAAATAAATAATTTCTATTACTACTTACATTGTTGTTTTCACATGTTTGAGTTCCGCAGCATAGTAGTCCGCATTATTTTTGAAGAAAAATGCTACCATTAATGCGTCAACCTTACGTAGATTGCTGTTATCAGCTTGCACAAAATTTAGGTCCATTTTGAAGTCCACAACGAATAATGATGCCAATAGTTGAAAGATTGATCAAGAAAGTAATAAAGATCTGTATACGAAATAGAATTATGATAGAATATCTCACAGAAAGCCAGCAAAAACGTACAACGCGATGTTTGTTTACTTGCATGTGACGTCACCAGAGTCGCAGCCAATCGCAGTGCGTTTCTGTGACCCATCGAATTTTTAAAAATAGCTGATTTTTATTTGATTATTTCCCAAAAAATATACATATTTAGGTGTACATTAAAGTACTATGTGTTTTCTTATTCTATTATCTAATAGGATCACCACAATTCGCAACTTATTTTCAATACTGTCAAATAGCCTATTAGGATGAGGGTTTACCGAGCGTCCCTCGTATACATTACTATACCTGAAGTTTGGCAATGAAGTCTACATTTCCACATTCCTTCGCGACAATCACCTGTCATCTGTCGACGCATCACCCGGCTTTTCCCCCAAAATTGCTTTTCGATAATTCTTAATGTGTTCGGGTGTATTGTAACAAGTGCTCTAATCTACGCGTTCGTTTCGAAACTCCATTTCGCCGTAACCTCAGCGACGAGTAAGTTGTCTGATAATTTAAATCCTTCCCGTTTCGGTTGCTAGCATCATATTTGTGTTTTTAGCTCCTGAAGATGGCTCCATAGAGAATGCCGAAAGCTCGAGATGACAGTTAAAAAAGTTTACTAAAGCCTAAAAAAAAGTTTTTGCCAATTTCCCAATTAACTATATATATATATATATATATATATAGTTAATTATATATATATATATATACAGGGTGACTTTGAAGTTGAGTCATTAATTTTCAGATAATGATTGTAGAAGGAAGATAAACCAAAATATGTGTGTAAAAATAAAAAAAATTAAAAAAAATTTTACCTTGTTTTATAAAGTATCCTCCCGACAAGTATTTCAATGCGGACCTGTATTTGATCGTGCGGTCTTGGAGCACCGGCGTTCTCTCCCCTGTGAGGTCTTAAGTCACCTGATTCACGAGCCCTTTGTACTACATTAACAATGGCACGAGGGGTTGGTTGCACTCGATTGGGAAACCGATTCGCATAAAACCGTGATGCCGTAAGTAAGAATCATGTCCACAAGTTCAGCATTTTCGTAAACATGTGCCATTTTTTATTTCGTTTGAGCCACGCAACAAACACTACTATTCACTCACGCGTTCCCGACTAACACACATTGACTGACATCGTGATAAACGTTTCAAATTCTTTCGCTTTTTTGTTTCCGTTGCGATGAACCGATAAGGCGCGGATTATATCCGTTGTTGCCAAACACGAGCATCACCCTGTATATACAGGGTGACTATGAAGTTGAGTCATTTATTTTAACAGTGAGTAGATCTGATCAAAAGAAATGTTTTTTTCCTTTACCATTTTCCTGGTAAAATTAAAGTAACAAAGTTATAGCCCTTTGGAAGTTTGAGTACCGCCCTGTCTCAATAATAATATCATGTGCTCGTGTTTGGCAACAACGGATATAATCCGCCTTACCGGTTCATCGCATCGGAAACAAAAAAGCGGAAGAATTTGGAACGATGTTTTTACAATAAATTATTTTATTCAGTTCAGTTATACATACAGTCAGTGTCAGTCGGTTAGCGTGTGAATAGTGTCTGTTGCGTGGCTCAAACGAAATAAAAAATGGCACATGTTTATGCGGATCGGTTTCCCAATCGAGTGCAACCAACCCCTCGTGCCTTTGTTAATGTAGTACAACGGGCTCGTAGATCTGATCAAAAGAAATGTTTTTTTCCTTTACCATTTTTCTGGTAAAATTAAAGTAACAAAGTTACAGCCCTTTGGAAGTTTGAGTACCGCCCTGTCTCAATAATAATATCATGTGCTCGTGTTTGGCAACAACGGATACAATCCGCCTTACTGGTTCATCGCATCGGAAACAAAAAAGCGAAAGAATTTGGAACGATGTTTTTACAATAAATTATTTTATTCAGTTCACTTATACGTTACATACAGTCAGTGTCAGTCGGTTAGCGTGTGAATAGTGTCTGTTGCGCGGCTCAAACGAAATAAAAAATGGCACATGTTTATGCGGATCGGTTTCCCAATCGAGTGCAACCAACCCCTCGTGCCTTTGTTAATGTAGTACAACGGGCTCGTGAATCAGGTGACTTAAGACCTCACAGGGGACCTCACGATCAAATACAGGTCCGCACTGAAATACTTGTCGGGAGGATACTTTATAAAACAAGGTAATATCATTTTTTTATTTTTTTTTTATTTTTACACACATATTCTGGTTTATCTTCCTTCTACAATCATTATCTGAAAATTAATGACTCAACTTCAAGTGAAAAATTAAAGCTTCCGCCTTTTGTTGGGTACTTCGACAAAATTTAAGCAAAGAGGACTCTTTATACTTCTTTAATTCTCTCTAGCTTTCAATGGACTTTGCCATCATCATCAGGAGAGTAGTATGTGAGGATGTTGCTAATTGTTGTTTACATATAGGATGAGGGAAACGTCCAGTAACGTGGTGAGAGCTGGATACATGGTACAATGGTCAAAATTATATAAAATATGACAAGAACAAGTTAAAAACAGATTAAAAATTATTTAAATAATTAATTTTTCACCTAACTGGTCTAGACGACAATGACCACGTCTCAAGTTTATATATATATATATATATATAACTCAAATATCTTTCTTCAACGAAAACGTTTTTAAAAAAGATTTATTTTTGAGAAAAACCAAATACAACGATGTTAATTGAATGAGTTCTGAATCGAGACTGACTGCAAAGTGCATTATACAAAACAAAGTAAAGAACAAATGAAATACAATACTGAAACAGATAAGAAAGGAACGTGGAGGCAAAAGTCCATGTTCAGCATCTTCTTCTCTATAGACTGGTACATAACTTCTCCACCCCTAGAATGAGGCTTCCCCTGGAAGGTGAATTTCTTTCTTCTTATATCTTGAACTGGAATCTTCTCTTCTAGTGCGTTTTGTGGGACTTCTACCTTCTTCTTTCATCTCGGCTAATTCAATGTCGATTTCTAACTTGGATGCTTTCTTGTTTCTCCATCTTCTATATAAAATTATGCAGCAGATGCTTGAAAATACGAGATATAGTAATATGGTCCAAATACTGGGTTTCCAAAATTTTCTATGGAATTTTCTTCTAAAATTGGTAACATTCGATTAACTTGTAATTTTGGTAAATTTAACGTTTTCAGAGTAATTTGTGTCTCTGGGATATTTTGTTTCATAAAATGGAAATCCATTTTGTCAGCTACGAGGGGCTTTCCATAGGTTTTGTCTTGAAAGATAATTTCATTGTCTTGGAATGATATTTGGCATTCACTGGCTTTGACTAAGAAAATGCCAAGTAATGACTTTGTATCGATTTGCTCCTTGCATTTAATTTTCAATTTTTCTTCGGTGAGAAATACAGCTAAATACTGGTTAATTTCGGGAATAAATTCGATGTGATTTTCTTCAATCTGAAGCTTCGTGTATCTACATGGCTCTGTATGATCTTCTGTAATTATTGACTTCTCGCATTGGGCTTTGTGATTGGCTAATATACGATTAGGGCATTGATAGATTCTACCTTGGGTACAAATCTCGTGCAGGGGTTTGATCTCATTTCGATCAGATTTTAGCAAATACTTATAATTTGGGATAATAGTGACGAATTCTGATTTGTGCATCAGAGTCGGTATAGGTAACATATAATAAAGATCGAAATGTTCAGGATAATCTATAGGACTAGATAGAAAATAACTTATTTGATTCTCATCGATTTTACAACTGATAGAAATAATAGATTCATAATCTAGCATATTTTCATACTCTACTTCAAATGGTAATTCATCTTTATAAAATGTGGATATCTTACGAAGTTCTTGAAATAATTCTCTAGTCCTTATTATACTGGGATGCATGGTTTTCAATTTGCAAAAAGTTATCGAATTTTCGAAATCTTGTAAAATATTCAATATGGCATTATAGAAGATAATTAATTGATTGATAATGTCCTTCGCTGAAAGAATATCCTGGTTTGTTGTCTGGTTCAATAAAATATGTTTCAATTGAAAAATGTTATTTCTTAATGTCATCTCATTGTGCTGTATATCTTGAATAGTCCCGTTAAATTTTGCGACAAGTTCATTGTTTACTGAATATTGCATTCTCAGCTGATTTTGAATATGGTGCTGATTTTCTTGTAAATGAGATAAAATTTTATCAATACGTTCTCCATCGTCGGAGTCTAAATTTCCTGTTATTGTTTTTACTACATAGCCTATGCCATTAAAAAGTCCTCTCTTATTGCGAGTCTTTTGAGAATGAGATTTAATGTATTCGATTTTCTCTTGAATCAAGCTCCTTATATAAGATACTATCTTACTATAATTTTCTAGCTCGTTATTAATCTTAGAATGGTTTTTGTAACTATAGTTAAGATTACTGTATTGAATATTCAAGTCTTCATATTCCTTATATAAAGGTGATAGATCATAATAGTGCACAAAAGTATGTTTTGTCTTTTGTAGCCTAGCTGTGCCTAAATTTACTGGCAAAATTCCTAAATTGTTCGTTATGTTTCTTATTTCTGCTCCGCATCCGAAATAGATGAGGTATCTGAAATATTAGTAAATTTAAATTGATAAGTTTTCTTCCTGGGCCTTTTAATATTGGATAGATGGATATTTTTGGAAGTATTGGCATGTGTGGGATCTATCTCCGCTCTTTTTAATTTCTCATCTATACTAACTAATTTTTCTTGCTTATACTTATTTTTAGTTTTCTGTTGCTTCTGTTTATTCTTAACATATACCTTGTTAGGAATATCAGGCAAAACTTCACGTTTCTCATTTGCTTTATTTATAACTTTTTCTTTATTCTGTAATATATTTTCATTTAAATTCCTATATACTAATTTCATTTTTTGCTTATGATTCTGTAAATAATTATTTAATAATTGCTTATCTATGTTTACATTAAAAGGTGATTCTGTATTGAAATGACCAGTAATCACTTCATAGGGTTTAAGATTGGATACAGAATGTATTGTGTTATTATAAGCTAATATAGCGTAATTTACCTTAGTTTCTATAGGTTCGTTCTTGTACTCTACCTGATTATTTAATAATCTTAAATGTTCTATGAGCGTTGAGTGGAAACGTTCTACGGTT